AGTGTTCAAAAGAAGAAGTTTAAAGGTATGAAATTCAAACCTTCCAACCATATGAATCTATGCAATCTAAAATGTTTTTTTTTTTTTTTTTTTTGCAAACCATCAATGCCAATGTTTCTTGTGAAATGAAAGAAAATTCGCAACCCTAAACCTAAACTAGTTTCCTTACATTTATGGTTCGGACTAAGTTTAGATGTGCTCTAGACAAAAGGTAGTTTTATAAATGCCAAATTATAAATGATTGATCAATTTAAAAGTGGTTTATATCACATTTCTTGAGTATTATTTATATTCACCTTAACAAAGTGCATCACACATGTCTAACAAATATCTCTTAAGTATTCTTTCTAATCTCATACTCAACGTATTTTGAAAAGATTTTCTTGAAAAAGAACTATAAAAATCTCAAATTCAAATCTTCAAATTATATCAAACAAATTTATGCGTACTAAATCGTATAATATTTCTAAGTTTACATCTTGGAATCCAGCAATGTTTGTTCTCCATCATTCTTGAAAAAAGTAGTAGAAACAATCAAAAGATGCATTGTTTATGGTTCGTGTTAGGTTTTCTCTTAGCTTTTTCATTAAAATATACATTTTCCTTTTTTATTTAATTAGCCACTAAAATACATTTCATATCACATGGGGCATTTTTAATTAGCTTCAACAAAATCAAAATCTTGTCCAAATACAGGGAAGGCAGGAGCTGTTTGGTGGTAACTTAGTCACCCTTTGTCCACATTTTGGAATCACTTTTACATTTTATAGGAATTTCTTGTGTTAGTGCATATGTTGTGAAGGAGAAAAGGAAATCCATCTTATTTATGTAAATGATTAAATTTCCTACTAAATTGATCAAAGGTGATAAAATTGTTGAGCAGTGCTACTTGGCCACTAATTGGTGGAGTGCACACCGTTCACAATTTTTTTTTCTTTTTTTGAAAAAAATTGTCAATATTGTTATACAAACTTTGAAGCAGTACATGTATAAATAAAAATCATTTTCATAAAAAAAAAAAAACATATACAAATTGTGTACTAATTAATAAACTTTTTTAATAAATAAAACATAATAAAAATACTATAATTATAATGTTTTATGATTTTATAAACTTATAATATAACATATTATTATGTTATTAGTTATTTTTATTTAGAGATCTACTTGTAATATTATATATATTTACTCATTTAATGTCTATCATGTTTATTTAATGCCATATATGATTGTAATTTTATAATTCTACATGACATTATAATTATAATATTATTGAAAAGATAAATCATTCTTCGTTCATAAGGCATCTTACCTACCATTTCACATCAACAAATTAAATTAAAGCTAATTATCACAGTGTCAATACTTGAAATATAATTAGTGTTTTTCTAATTCATGATTATCATGATGAAAAGCAATGATATTGTTAGTGCTAGGAATAACTTAAGCATGTGCAAGACCACAAAACAGATCTAGAAGTCTAGTAATTTTCCTTCCTCAGTTTCATATACACACAGAATCTATGGAAAGTTGATTGTCTTTCTATCCTTATGGAGACTTGATGTGATTTATTAGTAGAATGCAACGTTTGTGTCATAGTTCAGTAAGTGGGTCTGGTCTAAAACATGACCTGGATATGTTCTGTCTGTCTTAACCAAATTAACCCTACATACGTTGGCAGCATATATCCTTCTTTTGTCCATGCATGTGCAATTTTTCTAGTAACCACCAACTCCTAAGAATAAGAATATATCTGAGCTAAACCATCACCATTAATCCAATAAATATTCTGCGTACCACACGTGCTTGTGTATGCGCTAACGTGTATCAATCTTATATTAGCCACGCAAAAATCAAGTGTTCTAGTTATATATATATACATACACACACACTAGGAGTGCGTGGTGATTCTTAAAGATACAAGCGCATATATTGGCCCTTTTGAAAAAATATACATATGCTTGATGCTTAATTTTGTGCTAAAAAAAGGTTGCTGTCCAAAGCTACTAAGTCATCAGTGAACTCTATTCACAATTCAATACACTATACGTAGTCAATGGTGGTAGTCATGTCACGACCTAATTACCATATTTCTTAGTCTAAATGGTACTTATAACTTATTATTTCATTACTAGCTATCATAAATATATATATATATGCAATTAATTATGATTAAGTGCTAAATGAGCAAAGGAAAAGTATATAAAGACTTGAGTGGCTTATCTTTATGTTACTGAAGTTGAATTACCAGGTGTCCTAAATGTATTCATGGATTGATTTGCAGTTACACTTGTGAATTACCATTATCAATTCAACTTTTAACAATAATATCGAAGCTTCTTTGATTTAATTTTGAATTAGATTTGTTTATAGGAAGATTAGTACCATGACCTAACAAATTAAATGATAAATTAAGCAATATATATGTGTGTAGGGTCATTTGAAATGGTGATGGCATGCCTTAATTAAATCTTTGTCTACCATTGTAGGAGAATATTATTTGTTAATCTGAATATATCCTTTTATAGATCAAAGCTGTGTACTTATACTGATTTTTTGATTAATCTAAACAAAATCCACATGCGTGCCATTTAAGTGCTCAGTCAAAAATCAATCACAAGATCATCAACTATATATATGCAAATCATGAGTTTAAGATTCACTAAACATATTGTTAATAATTTGTGGTGCTGAATTAACAACAAACTAAATACCCCATTAATTTGTTAGGCTGATGTTTTTCGAGGCTAGTTAAGAACGCGATATTGGACTAAGTCTTGGTCCTAATTATTAATTAACAGCATCATTGATCTATCTTCTTCATGCAGGATGACCTAGGCCACAATCTTAGAATGAAACCAACAACACTTATAATCTATTGGTGATAAATAATTAAGAACCGTACAGCATTTGACTAGGGAAGGTCTTAATCTCACCACAATCAACTGAGGAAGGTCTTAACCTTAATTATTATTATTATTATTTTTTTCTTTTTTTTGGTTTCCCGCCCGGTATCCGAGGCTTCGCCTCGACTAATCCGAACCTGACCCGCGTCGCGCACCTAGAAATGGTGGGTGAGTCTCCCAGTGAGAGCTGCTGCGTACACAAGGACTCGAACTCGAGATCTTGCTTAAGCTGAAACAAACCGCTTACCACTTGTTCCAACCCTCCGTTGGTCTTAACCTTAATTATAAACAACAACATCATATCTTTTTCATGTACTATGACCTAAGCCATGTCAGAATGAAACCAACAACACTAATATAATCCATTGGTGAAATTCCTATTTGTAAACATATATGATCAATTGATCATGAGCCAAAAATCAATTTGCTTTAGTTTTTCATAGTATCCTATTGATGGATTTGATCATATTAATTAATCTACAAAGGAGAAATTAAGAAAAAGGAAGCACCATACTGCAGCTAGTTATGTGCATTTTTTGGGTGTGCTAAGTCAATTTTTGGCCACTTCTAATTAGTAGTGTACATATTGTGTTGGAGAATTACCAAAAAGAATCCAAGGAAACCAATGAAAGTTGAGAAAAATGCTTGTAAACAAAGGACATAAAAAGGTCATTGTCTGCCTCAATCGGTTGCTGATGCATCATCAGATCAGTTATCTTCCTGAGAGTTCGATGGATAAAATTCAGAATTCAGGATTAATTCGGTAATGATGTTGATGTTTGCAGAAAAGGGAGTGGAATCTGACTTGGGCACAGCAGCAGAGATGGGAAGATTAGGCCCTAATATGCACACAAAGTGCAAGAAAGAAGAAAAACAGGAGTTGGCAAAAGATGATAAGCCATCCACACCATATAAAAGATATATATATATATATAGCACATCTCCCTTTTTCTGCAAATTAAAAATGCTTGCGTAAGAAAATCCCATTAGGCAATTTAACTTTGTAGTGGTGTTGCTGTCAACGATAAGTGAGTACATGGACAGATCATAGGAGCAATAACATTTCAGTCACATTCTACGGGCTGCAGGTAGCTATGTGTATTTCATGATGATTTAATTGAATATACGAACTTTGTGATATGTAGGTTTCACCTTCTGAATTTTGGCTTTTCTTTTCCCGTTTGTGATGGCATGTCATTGACTATAAAATGGGCTAGAAGACGAGCTTGTGTTTGGTAATTGGCAAAACAACCAAATTCCAATAAGAATTTGGTACCGATTATTTATAATATATGTTAATGGGAACCCCGCATGTTGAAAGGAAAAGGGTTATTAAAGAGAGTTGTCTGTTTCCTCTTTTCCCTCTTTTGTCGCTCTTTGAAAGGAGGGGGAATTGGGTCATCTTTAGACAGTTGTTTTCCTTGTTTCTGGAACTTTATTGTTTCACATGAAAGCATTTGATTAAGACTTTGTTGGAATTTTGTGTATTTTATTGGAAAACATGGGCCAAAATTGGATGAGGAACATCTTGCACATCCTTCTTCTTTCTCTCCCTTTTTT